ATAAGAGTCTACAGTCTTCTTGGGTTCTTCTTGAGCATATAGAAAGCCGTGGGCATGTACACAGCCCTACACATGCATTTGGCCTTCTTGACTGCCAGTACTGTGGTGGAGCTTTTCAAAGCCCCAAGAAATTCTCATTCCTCTGTTAAGCTTTCTGGTCAGCTTTCTGCTTGCCCCAAATGCCATCCTCTACCTCAGGCAGACACAAAAATAATCAGTTGTCTCTAATTGTTTTCAACAAGGCCTTTCACACGGGGCAGCTTCCAGTCAAGTCAAATAAAGACAGCCTCGCAAGTGGGGTCTCCGGGGCCTGACAGACAAGTCAAATAATGACAGTTCTCTGGGGATTCGGCTTTGAAAGAACTCCAGTCCCACTCTACCCCTTCCAGTGGCTGCTAGACTGTTGGTTTTCACTATAATTGCAGACTTTTGGTTTTTAAGTCTTCTATGCAACTGAAGAGGAAGGATGAAAACAGGGCAAGTTACAGTATCATAGTGTTCCCTGTTCTTACAGAGATGCATCCTTCTTTCTAGAATAAATGCTCCCTACACTGCCATAGGCCCTAAGTTAATTTTCAAAGTTCTAAAAAGTTGATTCTGGTTATTTTTGGCAGTTTTTCCTTGGTTTTATGGAGGAGAGAATTTTCAGAGCGCTTCACTACATTTTTGCTGATATCCTAGCAGGTACTTCTTTTTTTTCAACCTAGAATCCATGTCTGTATCTAGTCTCACTACTCTGTTCAGATGTTGCCTCTTAGAGGTGGGTGTGGCTTTTCTGAGGACACTGTCTCCTTGGTACTTGCTGTCATATTTCCCCTCCAAGTCCAAGGGGGCCAAAACAAAAAGAGCAGTGGCAAAGAGCCTTTAAATGCTTCGTAGCTAGGGCTCCTGGTGATACCAGCTGCAACCTCAGGGTACTCATAGTCGTTAAATGTGAATAATGAAGAGTTGGATCTATTTTCGGAGTGCTGTGTTCTGTCCTTAAAAGAATAAACTGATATAAGTTGAGAATATCACAAGTTTGCATAGTGTTTAAGGGCACACGTGTTGCAGTGAAATCATATGAGTTCACTGCCTCCTAGCAGGGATAATAATGGTATACATACAACATGCGAAGATTGTGGGGAACAACTCAAATAAAATCCTTAGCACAGTATCTGGCCTAAGCAAAGTTGCTGGGATTTTCATCCCCATTGTCAGGGCACCAATACCTAGTAGAAATCCTGTATTATAAGTCCAAGTAGGAAGGGACCTCAGAAATCTACTTTAATTCACATACCTAGGACACTAACTCACTTTACCTCACATCCCTATTAAGTGAGATCTAGCATGTGTTTTCATGCTTCCAAGCACAGGTTGTTCACCATCTCAAAGGCAGCACATTATCACTCTCATGATAATATCTTCCTTCTAATGAGCCCCAAATCTTTTTTTTCCATTTTTCCTTGAACACCTCAAAATAAAGCTATTATCATTTCTGCATGGCAACTCTTCCATTACTGAAACAAAGCCCTTTCCAGCCCTTTCCAGGTCTTCTTTCTAGCTCTGGGGAAGAGGCTGGTATTTTCCATTGCACACCAACTTTCCCCCACCTCTAACTGCCATGGGTCCTGAGGTGTCCTACTGAAATCGTAAAGGTCTAGGTGGAAGAACTAAATTCCCTTTAGGATCACATGAGATCCAATTATCTCTTTTCTACCTCCCTTCCTATGACAAGTGAGTCCCTGTCCCACCCTACCCTGTAAACACTAAGAGTTAAACACACACACAGAGAAGAGTTTTGATTTATTGTTGCTCTTTGGGAAAGGTTATATAGAACATAATGGGGATTAAAATCAAATTCTAGTTACAGATTCATAAAACTTTGCTTTAAACCAAATTAACTTTTAGGAGACCATCGAATCCCCTCTCATCCTCAAACACAGCAAAGTAACTCAATGATAGTCTATATAACCCTCTGTTGTTTTTAAAAGATTAAAGCACACACTATACATAATGCAGTTGATATTAAATATCTTGAGAATGACAAATCAATAGAACTACTTCCACTCTTAAGCATTAACTGGTCATTTATACATGTTCTATACATACATTTTTCATTTTAGATCTTCTCCCTTAAAAGGACTTGTGAACTATTCATTATTATCAGCCATTTGTAGACACACATCATAAGTCTCCCAAAATAACATTTAAAAAATCTTTCTTAATATTGCTTCAGAAATGTTAACCTTTAAGGAACATTCAATTTAAAAAAAAACACACAAAAGCTCAGGTCGAGACTCTGTTACACATGTTCAGATGTGTCAAGATTTTATTGTTTCCCTCCAACCTGATAAAAACCTCCAACCACATACAATGTGCCAGTTTCATCTTTGCTTAACTCAGAGAAAAGTCAAATAAAGGAGAAAAAAAATGCTCGAAATCACAGTGACCAAAGGATTTGAATAATTACATTAAATAACCATAACTTTTTGTTTAACTATTCACATTCCACACAGTGGAAATTATCTTTTCCTCCAGATTTTTCACTTGCATTTTTAACTTTGAAGAATTACAATAACAAAAAAACAACTTACAGACTTGTAGGACGTGTGTTTCTCTCTTTTAATGCCAAGCACAAAGCGTACATCATAAAATTCATATTTGGTGTTTGGCATTATTTTAATAGGAAAGATTGAGATCACAAATATCTTGCCATAAAAAAATATTCTGCTATAGTAATGAAAAAAACATATTTCTTCATCGGTGACTCCAATACAATATGTAACAGATACGGCACTTTCAATAAATATTGGAAGACGCACCATACTTTGCTAGTCTTAATACAGGCACAGTCAGAAAAGCAGACGTTTCCCTCTTTGGCCAGTGCTGTTTTTTCAGGGCAGTTATGCTGCTGATTATCCCAGTGAAGTTAATTTTGAGGAAATTCTCTTTACTTAAGCCAAATCCGACTTACATGCAAGACTGTGGTATAAGCTACTAAAAGAAGATCGCTGCTGCCAACTTAAGTCATCTCTTTTTAACAAAATTGCATGCTTGTGGCAGAGTTAAAACAACAAGAGAAATTCAGTGTCTGCCGGTTCTAAATGTCATTTTTCCTCTCTCGTGTGGTTTTACATGTTCAGCTCCTTCCCCTTTCTTTTCCTCTCCCCGCCCTCAAAATTCTGGCTTAGTATTTGTGTGCTTAATTAAATCCATTCTGTGCTTTATTGTTGGGGGATGTGGATGATAGAAGAATTTAGGGCAGGGGCATACAGTGTATATGAAAGCCACGGCCTGTGTGTTGCCTGGTGTGGAATCATCAGTAGTGAGTTTAAAAGTTCCAAAATTAGACCCACTATTTTGGGCGTTTGAGATTAACTTCTGCCTCAAAGTGTGATTCTTGCCTAGTTGTTAGAGGGGAGAGTGCTGCACCAAAAAAAAAAAAAAAAAAAGACAAGAAGCTTCTTTAGTGCAATGGGGGAGCCGTGATGGGCAACTAAAATACTAATCAGTGGTTCCCATATCACACATGACTTGGCTAGTGAGGATGAGAAGGTACAAGGCACAAGAAGTGTTTGGAGGGGTGGGGATGGGTGTACAGAGAAAACCTCAGGCTTGAAGAGAACAGGTTAGCCAAATCCCAAATGTAGTCAAGGTCTCCCCACCCTGTACTTTGGCGATTAGATAAATCCTAAATAGGGCTTGTAAGTAGCCCCGGTTTAATCAGAGGAGGGCTCTCCCAGGATGTTCTGAATGGTTACAAAGTTACACGAATCCCACCATGAGTAGAGAGACGGCTAATGCACCCAAATGCTCTGATTTCTTCACTGGAGCTTTGCATTAGACCCTGAAAAAGCAAAGGAAGAAGAGGAGGACACATCGCTTCTATCTCCTCCCCAGCAGTAAATTACTCCTTAGCCAGAGGCGGTCTCCTTTATTTCCTTCTTTTCCTGTGCTCTCCAGCTCGATCTCCTACCAATGGCTAAAAGATACAGAACCAAAATATACCTCTAGTCAAACTGGAGCAGGCCCTAAACTCTCCCATCTTAACCTGGTTTTTCACTGCCGGGTACACTTAGCAGAGGCAGAATCTTTAGAATATAGGGTTGTGGCTCTCAGAAGCATGATACAGAAATAATGGACTAGATAAGCAGTGATTACAACCAAGCAAAAGGAAAGATACCAGGACCTTCTGCTTATGAGGCATTTGTTTTCTTCCTATCCCTGCACTGGGGAAGGAGGAGGTTATGAACTTCATCTGCCTCTTCCACTTGAGGAGGGCGAAGGGGGAGGGTTTGTCTTGGTTCAGCTCACTCACTGGGTTCTGAAAACACGAGTGGTCAATATTTATGTTTTAAGTTTGGTGTTGGGATGTAGCCAGTTTCAGCAGATCACGGTAATGGTGACGGTCAATGAGGATTTGGCAATTCCATTTCTCCTCCGTTCACTTGGTCTCTGTTAAATACCAGGGGAAAACCCTGCGGAAGCCTGGAGTCGCACCATGTTCGGGGAGTGGACTTTTAAGACTCTGCACATCTCCCCACTGAACTTTGCTGTGCCCAACTAGCCCTCCCCCCAATCCCTCCCTTCTCTCGCTCCTGTGTCCTTGCCCATGTACACCCTAGCCTCTCAGAGTCCAAAGACTCTTCCGCAAATCAGAAACATTTGCATCTATGGTCAAGGGAGCTCATTTAGAGCCCTTAGCAGACGGGATTAGAATGAAATAGTCACTGAGAGCCTAAGAAGGGATGGACTGTGGAAGGGAAGCAAGCACAGGTGGAAACACCTTTGCCAAGTATAATACAGCACTAAAACAGGTCTCTTGCCGTCAGAGGAGCCCCTTTCATTAACATTCATTCAGAAGGGAGATTCTGGTCCCCGGGAAAGGAGGACGCATGTAATAGACAGGCAGAACCAGACCACAGCCCTGCCCCTCTTCATGTTCCTTCCCTGGTATGGGCTTTCTGTGCCATCCCCATGGAAACGGATATGCTTACACACTAGGAAGTGCCCTCCTCTCGTGTCTGCAGACACCCACAGACACCCATGCACACTCACGCACACAAACTATGCATCAGCAGGCTCCTGTCAGAAGCCAGCTGGTGGTTCCTCTTGCCTGTAGGTTTAAAGCCAAGTAAGAATCACGTGGTTTTAGGTCTGGCTCCCGGCCCGCCTGGGGCTGCATCCCGAGGACAGGCTGGGTGTGCTCAGCTTAATCCAGATCGATGGATATGCATCTACACTGCTTGACTCGCGTGACCCTCTTCTTCTTGGTGGGTGGCTGCAGTTCGGGGCAGTTGAGGGTGACCATCATGGTGGTGAATTTCTTGGGCTTGCAGAAGGAGCAGGATTGGAAGGAGCCTTCCTCCTTCCGGATGTGCCTGGGGATGTAGAAGGAGTTGCACTGGCCATAGCAGAAGCGGTTGATGATGGTGCGGCTGTTGCAGCCCTCCTCGTGGATGGTCTGCTTCAGCGGCTGGGTTTTGCACCAGTCCCGCTTCAGGTATTTGCGCTCAGTCACATGTAGGGCCTCCTGGCTGGACTCTAGCACCTCCTCGCCAGGCATGGCGGTGCCACGCCCTTGGCCGCGTCCCCGGTTCCTGGAGCCAGGCTGCTGGGGAGACTGAGTCTGCTCTGAGTCATTGTGCTGGGCCTTGTCTGGCGGGGGGATGGCACCCTGGGACCCCTTCTTCTTCCCTTCAGCGGTGGGCAGCAGGGTCCCCAAGAGGAGAAGCAGGGCTCCCACAGTGTAGGCTGTGCGGCTCATGCTAGAGGAGGGAAGCACAGAGAGGGGAGACACAACAAACAGACAAGTCAGTTAGAAAATTATTAGCAGCTAACATCTTATCAGGCACTTGGTTTTGTTTTGCGTTTTGAGAGAGAGTGTGTGAGCAGGGGAGGGGCAGAGAGAGAGGAAGACACAGAATCTGAAACAGGCTCCAGGCTCTGAGCTGTCAGCACAGAGCCCGACGTGGGGCTCGAACCCACGAACTGTGAGATCATGACCTGAGCCGAAGTAGGTTGCTAAACCAACTGAGCCATTCAGATTCCCCTTTCAGGTATTTGTTAAACACTTTATGTAAAATATTTCATTTCCTTCTCACAATATCCCTGTGAATAAGGTACTCTTATTCTCATTACCTGCCAAGCCATCAAGCCATGAAGTAGCTTGCCCCAGGACACCAGTGAATATGCCAAGGTCGGAGCTCAGTCAGGATGCCTCTTTGTGGCACACACTGCCACTGGAATTCCTTCCTGGCTGCTGACACCCGTCACATCTGACTTTGAATTATGGTCACTTGATTGTGTTCATTCTTGTATGATGCCAAATGAACTTTGCACCTCTTTGGGGAAAGCAATTTTCTCTTCTGTTTAACGGCAAGACAGATCAGCCTCACTGCCCAGGTTTCCTCTGTCAGGAAAGGCTTCTAGTCTCTTCTCCCTGCCTAGCCTGAGCACTTCCTGAGTTGCACCTTGTTTAATTGGTTAGATGCTTAGGAGATGCTCACTGATATCAGGCATTGCAAGGAGACCCATGGAGGAGACTGGAAAGCACCTGACAGAGGGAAAATACTTAACAGGAAGAACACTGGCTGAAAAGTCAAGACTGGGTTTCAGGTAGAAGTGCGAGGGCAGCAACTTGCTGTCTAACCTTGAGAAAACTCACTTTACTTCTCAATAAATGACCTCACTTACGCACTGGTACAAATACCTCATCTCCCCAGATAGGGTTGTTCACATCAAATTTGATATACAAGTGAAAGCCATTTGAGAACCAACCAAAGGTATGAGAGTATTGCAGACAGAACAAATAACCTTACCAGAAAGATCGCATAACTCAGAAGATTCCTTGACCTCTCACTTATTCTCACTTTTAAACTGACACAGATATTTATTATATCATTCTCTATAACATGATATACATTTCTCTACTTTTAAATGGCAAAATAGGCCATTTACGTGTATATGTGTGTGTGTGTGTGTAAAATTTAGAATATAGAAAATGGGCCCAAGGAAACAGGTATATGCAAATATTTACATGAATAAATGCCATAGACATGTAGAATAAGTGAATGATAGTTGGGCCTGGAGTTAGACATGGGTCGGAAAGGGCAGTGAACAATGACAAAAAAAAAATTAAATAAGTGGGAGGAGGGGGCAGAGGGAAAACAGACAGAAAAACCGGACGGAAAGCAAGGATGGAGAGAGGGGGGAAAAAATGGAGTGTAGAATGTAAATCAGAGAAAGGAGCGCTGTTCTAGAGGCAGAATGTTGGGAGCAGGTAGAACAGAGGAGGAAGGGGAGGAACTGAAGCACAGTTGTTAAAGACAGTGAAGCATCACACTGTTAAGATTCTCCTGACACAGTGCCTCTCAGAAACCTCAACGTGCAGACAATCATCTTGGGGGGCTGCTAAAACGTAGGCTCTAGTTCAGTAGGTCTAACCGGCTCTGAGTAGTAAGGCCTATAGCCCTTGTAGCCTTGAGACACAGAGAGAATTATTAAAACGTGGAAGGATTTTCTTTTCAAAGAGTACAGTTTCAAATTCACAGTCTCCCTCTCAGGTCGTCATACCGAATCTGACCCGAATCTTGAGGCTTCCCCTACCCCCTGCCCCTACGCCCACCACGATTCTGAACCTAAGGGCATAGCTGTGGAGGACCTATCTCCCTGCTCTCTTCTGTATACCGGTGGTACATATAATAACCGCTGAGTGCAACTGAATAGTAACCTTACACTCCCCAAGTGACCTTACAGTTCCCCAAAGGAACTGCACCAGTTGGATGATTAGCTAAAGCAATTACCCTTCAAAGACAAAGCAGCGTGGAGTCTACATTCTCTAAGCGAAGGTCCCAAGTAAAGGCCATGCAACCCCAAGGATAATGTCAAATTAAGATAATTAAATATTAAATTCAAAATATCCTTAAATGGCACCATTTTCCCAACATTAACCTAATACTTTTGGGCAAGTTTGGAACTGATAATGTGACATTCAGCTCCTGTTCTTCTGACCGTAGATTCCCTGGCTTTTGTCAGTTTATGTTACAACATCCCTGTTCTTTAAACAGAGCTTTTTTTCCTTTTTATCCTTTTTTCTTTTTTGCCTTAACAACAACAAAAAAATTAATTCCTTTGTTTTGTCTTTAAAAAATCACTCATGAGAAAAGTCCAGTTAAAACACAGGGCTGATTTTCTCGAGAGACCAGGATAACTTGAGCCGTGACAATTCAGTCTCGTAGGCAGATATATTATGAATTTGAGAAGCTTTTACAAGCTCCTGCTATTTATTCAATGGGGGATCATGATCTCAACCAAAATTAGCTTCTGCCCATTCAAAGAGGAGCACATAAGACAGCCCTCAGCCTGCACCCACAGTCTCCCCTCATCCCTACTAAAAATGGCCCCCAGGAAAATTCAGCCCTCCCAGAGCCCTCAGAGCCCAACATCACAGAGGCCAATCTAAAACTGACTGGGAATGTACATTGTCTGCATATGACAGTTCACATCATAACGCCACCCCCCCACACACAAATATCTGTCCAAAAAATGCCATTTCCTTTCTCCAGATCAACATAGGACTCTTTTTCTACTCAACTTTTCCTTTCTGGTATTTTCACATCTATCATTAAATAAATACTTAGTCCAAGAGTCATGAGGGCTTATTCATCACCTTATCTCCAGTGCCTGGCACAGAGTAGGTGCTCTTTTGTTAAATGCATGCTTTATGGACCACATTGGCTTACAGAGTCTCCATTTTTTTCATTTTAAAATGCCTTCACATGTGCCAGTGAGCAGCTGAGCCAAATACGACCTTCTTGATATCTGACTTGCAGTGTAGCAAACTCCTTCTAGCCTTAATATTTGTCTTCCTTTTTCTAGGAAAACGCCAGATGCTCACTATGTTTCACATGGTCCCATGCAGAATGCTGTGGGGTTTATATTCTCATTGAAGCCATTGTATTCACTATGGCAGAAACCAACAGTAAAGCAAGCAGTAAATTCAGAATCAGTCAACTGTGGCTTTCAGTTTTCATTTGGACAGTCTTCCTGTTCTTGTGGGAGCGCGTGAGCCCCATAAGCCAAAGGGGTCTCGAGTGGCAGGCTGTTTTTCTTGGCTTTTGGATTTTTTTAAGAAAAGTAAATTTTTCTTAAAATAAGATTTATTAGGTGTGGAAAATGTTATAGAATAGCTTTTCATGTTTTGATTCATACTTTTTAAAGATCTTTATCAATTATTGTGAGGCTTTCGACTCTTTAAACCTGATAACTAGTTATTTGGAGAAAAGTAAAAGCCAACTTCAGGAATCTCAGTCAACAGACCTCAGCTTCAGGAGCAGCAGTGCCCTGAAGGTCTCTGCATTTTCCACATGAATAAGAGTCAGGAGGATGAGAACTATACTAGTACCAGCATCAGGGTTCTATCAAGTTATGTGGCCAATCATTCAACCTCCCCCCCAACACACACCCCAGACTGGTCATGATTACTCAGTGAAGGAAAAGCAACTGTTTGGCCTTGAAATCCCAATTGTATAGTAGCCAAATAATTTGCACACTATAAATATCATAGACATGGAAGAAATCAAGGAGATGTAAATTTCTTGAGGACAATTCTTTTCCACATCAACACCTAGCAGAGTGCTCCATTATCAAAAAACAATCCAAATGCTAACCAAGATTCGGGTTCCTATGAACTATCACTCACTCCCAACTGTGAGCTGCAGACATTTTTGGTAATTTGCATTCATGAAATGACCCACTCACATCATTAAAGTAAAGCTGCATCTTGTGGTCCACAGTGCATCATGACGTCCACAGAGGCGTCCCTTTATTCTCACTGCAGACAGCATCCTTCTTTTTAAACCCTGCCTCAACTTTGCCTTAATGCATTTCTGCTTTCCAACTCACTAATGTGATCATATTTTCATGGTGAGCTTTTCTTACAACTGTTCTCCATCGACAAGACCCACCCACTCTTACCTTTTTTTTTTTCCTTTCCTCCCCTCCAATCCATCTGTCCCAGAGCACATGATACTCTCAAAGCAGGTCTTCTCTACCTGATGCTTTCCTTCAGGTCTCCCTTAGGGATCAAGGGAAAACATCTGCACATGGGATAAGCCACATCAACCACCTCTGTCCCGGGTAGGTCATGGTGATTTGTTCTAATCTTCACAAGGCTCTAAGAACACAATCATCTAACTCTAGGGAATCAGAACTAAAAGTGTTCTGTGTGACCTGTTTCCAATGTTCTCAGTGACTTTGGGAAAGTTTAGGCCAACTTTCGGGCACTCTCCTTGTTGTATTTCTCATTGTCACTAACCTACCTGCTTATAATCAGTTAAATGGAGTCCTGAGTGGGAATTACACTGAGTGCACATTAGTCAGCAAGCCAGATGTCTATGCCTGGACATCCAATCAATTACTCCTGATGAATTCAGTTTTAGAAAGACATTCAACAGGCATGACATCAAATTCTTCCCCCAGGAGAAGAAAATAACGAAAGTGACAGCAAATGCAGGCCAGATTTTAGAATAACTTCTTCCTTTTTCTCAGCACTAAATCTTTCAGAAGGGCAAAGGTTATTTTTAATTTGACCTTTAATTTTTAAAAAGATAGCTTTTAGAAATTAAGTAGAGAATTTCGTAAGCATACACTGGGTTGATTTATTTTTTCAGACAAGTGGAGCCAAGAAGATAAGAGCTACTTGCTGGCAAATTAGTAGAGCATAAAGTCTCATGTGCTGCCACACTCTCACCACAACCTCTCTATTCATAAGACCATCCAAGCTAAGTCAGGCTGGCGGCCCACATTGCATGGGACATGAGGGGGACCAGCAGGTAGTTAAGTACCTCAGGAGCTCTCTGCTCACTGGAAGAATTTTTGTTGATGTGAATGATTGTATACAATTTTTGAGGTCAACACGAAACAAGTTATAAAGTAATAAATGTTCTCTGAGAAGCATTAGGGAGAGCCAGCAGACTTACAGGTTCTGTGTTGTAGTACAAGATATGTGCTCATCCCCGTGTGAGTGGGATTTGGGATTGAATTTCAGAACCACCTTGTAATATATCTGGTCCCAAGTAATGTTACTGCCTCTCCCAATATCACTATTAATAATAAGAGCCATCTATATATTTGAACCCTTAGTATGCACGGCGTTGTGCTCAATTCTGACTGTATTTTAGAATTTCTTTTTCACAACAGAACATGAGGTGGATAATACTGTCTTCCTTTTATCAGTCAGGGAATCCAGAGTCAGAAAAGTTAGGAATCTGTTCAAGGCCACACAGCACCAGTTCTCCCTAGCCCCCAAACATGTCTTCAAACACTGTTCTACGGGCACCCAGCATGGTATTTAACAAGGGACACACGGACTTGGTTCTAACGCAGTACAGTTTGAAGAATAGTGTAAGTCAAATAATTATCCAGTTTGTATCTTCATGTTCACACGTGAAGGAAAAAAAAATTCTGTTGTCCCAGGAATTACTGTTGTACTTTGCATTTTTAAGAGCATATGTTAAAACTGAAGAAAATTCCTTGCAGATGTAAGACATGGCTGGTAACATTTGCATGATCGGTCCTTTCAGTTGGATGCCATAGTGACTTTCCCTACCTCCCCCCAACCCTCCACCCTACTTTTCTTTACATAAAAGGGCTGGGTTTTCCTATCTGTCCTTAACTTCTACTCTAGGACATGCTCCATGGCTTTGCTGTTGACAAGCATTTCTGGGTAAAGGGTTCTGTGGCATAAAATTCCTTGGCCTTCTACCACTTGTAATACACAAACATAAGACAGCTTCAGTTTAGAAGACAAGGCAGGCAGTTCTCATTCAAAGGTGTGGGGACATCGTAGGTTCCTATTCTTTTCTGTGTAACCATTCAGATAAAGACTGTATTCATTGAGTAGGATTTCCTATGGATCAGGGTTACCAAAACATTTCGTTCAAAATGGACTTTTAAGAAAATACAAAACCTGTGAAATTACAAAGTTTACAAAAGACTTTAATTCCTACAATAACCTGAGGGTTAAACACACAAGTGCACATGCACACACACACATACACACACACACAGCACAGCACAACTACAGTTCTAAAGAACCCTTCAATAATTAGTTAATACTAAGAACTGAAGGCTGCAATTTATATATTGATAGCAATCAAATCATCTACTGTTGTAGATGTGGGTGTACCAGGGAGATGAGACTGTAGTTTTAAGATCTTTCCCTAGTTGCTTTGAAATGTCCATCTCTTCAAATCTCTCAGCCCCCACTCTTCCAAAAAAAAAAAGAAAAGAAAGAAAAGAAAACGAAGAGGTGGGGGCTTGAAAGCCCGGGGGTGAAAGAAGACTCTTCACCCTGGGATTGGGGTTATCTTAACCCCTTCTCTGCTATTTATTTAACTTGTGTGTACAGCCAAAAGGAAGCCACTACTCTGGGGTCCCTGGGACAGCTTAAATCCCCGTGACCCACTTAACACAATAGATTGTTTTAATCAACTCGTGTCCTGGCACCATCTCGAAGGGGAACATAAACAGGCGCACACCGCTTGGATCTGCTTTTTCCAGCAGGAGATCCAATTACCTACCAGTGGTCGTCTCTCTGCCCTTGTATCATTTAAAGAGAGATCTTAACCCCTAACGTTGACGCTGAATTTCTGTCTAAAAGAGCTGGATTCAAAGTCGACAGAGAAGGCGACAGCCGGCTTCTACCGTGGGACCCATTCAGGCCAGCTCTGGGCGCGTGGGAAGGGCTTCACTGCAAAATCTTGGTCATCTCCTGTCTACTCCCTGCAAAATCTTGGTCATCTCCTGTCTGCTCCCTGTCTCGCCCGGGGACCGTGGCCAGGGCCCGCCGCGGGGAAATACCAGGCTGGGGCGCCCCCAAGGTGCAGCTGGGATCCAAAGACAATGCCAAGCCAGAGCGGTGGCGCGTCGATTCCTCTCAAACCTTAAGTCTACGACAGCTCCGGCCGGCAAGGTGACAGTACCTCCGCCCCTCCGCCCCAGGTCTTGCAAGGGGGTCAGCAAGACGGCGAGAGGGAACCGGGAAGACCTGGGCATCTGAGCCGTCAGTCCCGCGTCGTCGTCGGTGGCGAGCGAGACGCAGCAGGACGAGGCAGGAGCCTCTAGGACACACATTAAGGGGTCCCCACGGGAATCGGACCCTGCGGGGTGGCTCTGCCCGGCTCCTGGGCGTTCTTGGCTCAGCCAGGGTGCGCGCGAGGCCCGAAGAAACCTAGGAGAGGACACCGAGCGCCCACGCGTGCACAGCCAGCAAGGGGATGTGTGTGGCACTCCGCGGGCTCTCTGGACTCCGCGTCCTGGGCCGCGCACGGCACTTCAGCTGACCCGTTTCCGCCGCGGCGGAACTCTACTCTTGCTCGAGTCTCCATCTCACCTTGAGGATGCGCCCACCGACGCACCGCTGGATTCTCCGGATCCTCTAGCTCATCGCAGGATCACTCCCAGCACTCCGACGGGAGCCCCTAGACGTCCGAGCCCCAGCGCCCCGCCTCAGACACAGGGCACCCTTTAAGTGCGGCTTGACCCGCCACCCGCGGCCAAGCCGCAGGTCCCATCGCTCCCGCCCACTACCCTCTCTGCTCCTGCGATGCGCACACACGGACTCGGCGCCTTTGACATGCGGGCGCGGCTGGCAGGCGCGCCAGGAGCGCCTTAGCCCGGCTTCAGGAGCTGGAAATGGGATGCGGGGCGGTAGCTCTCGCTCTTGGCGTCCTCCTTCCCAGCCTTACCAGGAGGACCATGCAAGGCGAGGTCACGGCAGCCACGACCTTGGCAGGAAGCATCCCGGTTTTTCTGCATTTATCACCCTAGGTAACCGGGGCCTCGGTCTGCGCGCACTGAGGGCTACCGAGCGGGGCTCGGGAATCTCTTGCAGGGGACCCCTGTGCACGCTCCCCCCCCCACCCCTCTCTCTCTCTCTCTCCCTCTCTCTCTCTCTCTCTCTCTCTCTCTCTCTCTCTCTCACACACACACACACACACACACTCACATTCACACCCTGACCAGCGCCTCCGCACTCACCTGTCAGTGCGGCGGGTCTTTGGGGCCTGCGCTCTCGACGCGGGGCGCGGTGTGCGGCCGCGGCCCCAGCCGCCCCGGCTTGGCGCGGGGTCAGCCGGACGGAGAGCACGGCTCTCGATGCACACTGGGTCGCCCGGTCCGCGGAGGGCGCACCGAGTGCGGGGCATCGCGACGTCTCCGGTTTAAATGCAGGCGGCTGTGCGCGGCCCCTGGGGCCGCGCCTCTCCATTGGCCAGGCGCCGCCGCCGCCGCCGGACCCGCTATCCGCCCCCTTTCCCGGTATTGCCCCCGCCCCCCGCACCCCTCCTGCCTCCCCGCGGGGTCCCCTCTCCGCCCGCCTCGCCTCTTTGTCTGCTCCCCCCGCCCCGGCCGGCTGGGAGAGGTCACCCCAGGGAACCGCGCCTGGAATGCACAGCAAATCACATTTTCCGCTCCCGTTGGAGGGGGAAGCGCGGGAGGAAATCCCCCCGGCTCCCGGCCCCTCAGTCCTCCTCCGCCCCGGGCCTGGGCTTTTCCTCTCGCTGGTCCCGCTTCGCCGGCACTGGCCCCGCAACGCGACCAGTCGCAGAGGCTGCTCGGGGAAGGGGAAGGTCTCCGTGGGGTGTCGCCAGATCAGGCGATTGTCCCCCCGTGGCGGGAGCAGGACTGTAGGGCGCTCTGGCTGAGCGGTCGCCGCGGCTCCGGCGCGGCTCTGCCCGAGGCCCCCAACTTCGAGGGCGCTGACCCCCGCGCCCCGGTTAACCCCGGCGGGCTCGCCGGCCGCCAGCGGGAGCCTGTCTCCGACACGACACCCTCCTCTCCTCACCCGCCGCGGGGTCTCTCAGCTCCGATGCTGGCGGCCGCGGGAGTGTACAGAAGGGGGTAACGGAGGAGAGAATAAACCGAAAAGGACCCTCAAACGTCAAGGTTTTCATTTCTAAGCCATCTTTAAAAGGGAGAGAACAATAGCTACGCGAGAGGAGGTTTTCTGCGGCACGTTCAAGATGAATAAATCAGGAAAAGAAAATGTCAGACAAGGAAATAAACTTCCCAGGGATTTAAGACCAAAAAAAAAAAAAAAAAACCTACCTTTGTGAAACACCGATGTCACATTTTGTATTTATTACCGAGAACCCAATGGATACTGGCGAAGATACTCTGCGCATAAATATTTTTCGAAAGATGAGCAAACACTTTCATTTGTTCTTTTAGCTTGAAAATTGGTTCCTCAAAGAAGCCGTAAATTCTGTGCGTCGAAGTTATAGCCCGTGCAAAAATCAACCCGTCTGCAAGTTCTGCAGACCGGCTCCATCAGCCAGGTCAGAGGATGACTTTGGGGGGGGGGGGGAGTTATAGAAGGAAATTTGAAGGTGCCTGGACTCACTAAAACAAAATAAACAAAACGGTGAAACCCAGCAAAAGGTACTTAGGAAACGTGCGTGATTTAAGCACTTGGCTAAGAAAACAAAACAAAACCCCAGAATAGCATGATTTTTATCTCCTTGGGCAGTTCCTTGTGGAGAGGGAGCAAGAAACATTGAACGCCTACTAGATACTCTTAAGAACTGGAAACCAGTTTTTCAAAGTGAATGAAACAAGAAGGTAGTCTGCATTAAATCAATACCTGGAGAATCTTCATGGTCCCAAACTTTTGTTTGTACAATCGGCAGCTTCTACCCACACACTCAGTGCTGCACTTTAAATGCTTCCAATAATTTTTCGTGAAATCATCCCATGAGCCATAGCTTGTAGCTGTCTGCAGAAAGAGAACATTCAACGAGGCTTGAAGATTTATCCTGGTGGGGTGGGCCGTAGGAGACATAGGTGGTCAGAAATACACAAAGTGCTCAGGTCATTAATAGTCCGGCCAAAGGCCACCACCAGTCTTTAGAGGTCAGTTATTGTCTCTGGGTGTAAACTATTCCGCCCAGGACAAGGGAACATATTTTACAAATGCATTAGCTCCTTCTAATTTAAAATCGACGTTTCAGTCACTGTTGTGTTTTTTTTTTTTTCAATACTCCTATAAAGTGTCCCAAATAAAACTACATGGGCAGAACTTACCTTCTGAATTGGAAGTCATTGTTTTGGAGCCCTGACACTGGTTTTATACATCTCACTCTATCTCTGTGACTGTTTCTATCTCTGTCTGGTAAATGCTGTTGGTATCACTGTGCCCCTCCTTAAGAGGCTTCTCAGACCACAGCCTCTACAACAGAACACTGCCGCCCCACACCACTATTCCACAACTCCATCCCCATTTCACTGCATCCTTGTCACTCGTCTCTCCCTGCCACTGCAATGGAGGCTTCATGAGAGCAGGGACTTTTGTCTACAGTGGTCACTGATTACACAAAGCTCATAGAACACAAAGTGTCTAAGACAGACTTAGGAGTTAAACAGTTGTGAACTGGGGATGTTCAGCACATGCCCACTAACTAGGATTAGCAACTGAGCCGAATGCTGAGTTCAAACCATCATGCATGTGGTAAACATGGGCCCTCACCTCACAGAGTTTATAGTCGAGCATATTTGTAAATATTTATATGGATATCCAAGCTTTTGGCCTCATATTTGTGTTTCCACAGCTCTCAACCAGTCATTGCAAACCATTATCCAATCAGGGGACAGGCATAAGAGTAAAAACTCTTCAGGCCTCTTTAACCATAATTACATAATTGAAACCTGTTCTTACTAAGAGGGGGAAGACGCAGAAGGACTCCATGTAGTCAAGGTTAAATTTTTAAATCTGAGATGTCTAAGCAGTGTTCACTAAATGATAAATGTCACTTGCAGAAACTGCTTTCAAATTACTATGAGACTGTTTTGAGAAGTCTAGACCCTGTTCAGCTACTGGTTTGTTAAAGGATAATCTGTTACTTTTGTTTTCTCTTGTTGGATATATAACGCTTGATTGTCTTCATCTAACTCCCGGGATGTTAAGAGGGGGTTACTCTCCAGATTTGGGAAAGAACCTTGAAGGCCTCTGTTGGAGAGTTTTTGTTCAAATCTGCAAAAGCTGTTCACCTAATTGCAGAAACAATGTATGGCATCTTGCATTGGATTTAAGGAAAAAATCCCTTTACCCATTTGGAACTGATCTTGTCTGCCCTTCCTAAAAAAAAAAAATGTGATGATAAACTTGACAATGGTTAAAGAAAAGATGTTTGCAGTGGACACATCACAGCTAGACGATTCATACCCAGAATAGGTTTCTCTTATAAGTTAATAAGAAAAAACTCCACAAATAACCCAATAGGAGTTGGCAAAGCACATGACTGGCCACTTCACAAAAGACGAAACCTGAGTGGCCCATAAACATTAAAAATCAATAGAGTATATTAGTAAATCGGGGAAATGCAAACTGAAATAAGAAGATACCCTTGCTTGGCTAGAGACTGGCAAAGCTTTAAGTCTGCCAATAACCAGTGTTGAAAAAGGCATGGAGAAGCAGGCACTTAAATGCCCTGGCAGTGAGAGTATAAACTGGTAAAACCATTTCAGGGAGTAATTTGTCAACATGTGGTAAAACTAAGCATGCCCCTAGTATACCACTCAGCCACTCTGTTTCTAGGTAAACACCTTACAAGAACTTGAGCACATTTATGAGGACTAGGATTGTGTGAGCACTTCTATCATGCTATCATTTGTAACAATCTTAGCATCCGTCAACAGAAGTAGGAGAAGACGTAATAAACTATTTTATTCATAAAAAAAACCTTTTTATTCATAAAAAGTGCTATCCAGCTTCTTCAAAGAATGGACTAGATTTCTATATTCCAACACACAGCTCAAAAACATAGTTGATGTCTTGGGGGTGGAAAGCAAGTTTCAAAATGCTATAAACAGTGTGACACCCTATGTACATTTTATAATAAACACAAGACAATAGTATGAATTGTTCATGAAAATACATATGTTCATGGAACTGTACGAAGTGTGGATTGGAAACCAGACTGATGCTGCCTACCAGAATGGAGTCAGAGAGGAGGTCGGATTGGAGATGGAAGGCACAAGAGATTCCAACTTTATAATGCTTTATAAATTCCATTCTAAAAAATCTTGAACTAATCTAACAAAATGTTGACAATTTTCATTTCTGGGTGATGGGTACATGAATATTTGTCAGGTTGCCTTTTTTTGCATTTTAGAAATTTTTTATATTTCCCCAAATTAAAAAGAATCTGACCTCTCTATTATGATTTCAGGAGTAATTTTGATCCTTATTTGGGCACTGAAGATTTTCCCCTCCTTTGTGTCCTCTGTAACCAGCTCCAATCAAGGTAAGTGTGCTTTCAGAATACATACAAGTCCTTACTGGTGTTTATATGTGCTGATCTGTCTCACTAAGCTCAGGGTGGACCCCCGCCCCACCCCCCCCACCATTCACCTTGCTCTCTGGACATAAGCGTAAAACCTTGACCAGTTTCCTGCATATGAACAATTCATGTGCATGTGAAAATTCTGAACAAAACTGTCAAATACAAGCCTATAAAAAAATAAACCATGCAGACCATTTTAATACAATTGGGACCTAATTCCATACAAGTATTTATTGTATACACTGCATGTTCAGCGCAGTATAAAAAAAGCAAAAACATAAAAGTATGTTTTGGTCCTTCATAGTCAATATGGAGGCCCAGCAGAGAAAGCACTGAACTTGGAGGCAGAAAAGTCAGAATGAATTTCTGACTCCTCCTCCTAAGAACTGAGTGCCCCTGGGTTAAATATTTAAACCCTCTGAGCCTAAATTCAATCATCTGTGTTATAGGAATGGTAATACCTACCTCTGGGTGGATGATGGAATTAAGTAAAATAAGCTCCGTGAATGTGCCAGACACATAACAGACGCTTAATAAACAGGAGTGACTGCGTGAATACTAGAGTATAATTGGGAGCCAAAACAAAGACAATGAAAATGTAGTATCAGCACGGGTCACGTCTTACCTACCTATCTTTATACTCACAGTACATTGGATGCCACATAATAGATAGTTGATAAAGTTACTAAATGAGTACATGCACAGGAGAAAGGAAGAAAGTAACAAAGGCAGATGAGGGAGAGAAAGGAGGAAGGACAATGGGAAATAAAGGAATGGAGGGAGAGAGGAAGGGAGGAAGAAAAGAGAGAAGAAATGGGAGGGGAGGGGCGAGGAGGGGAGGGATGATACCCTTCCAGTAAATGGCAACTTCTGTTTTTGGTAAAACTGGGAAGTGGTATAAATACCCCAGAGAGGGGCACAGGTAGAACAGCAAACCCTTCGGGCTCTCTTTTGCCTTCATCATGAGAATCACTTTAACCAAAAGCTGGAGTTTCACTGCAGTGGCAGAACCTCAGAAAGAGACCAGAAGATGCCTGAACGCATAGCAAGAGAGGCTGAAACTCCCTTGCCTAAGGCTGCTGCAGAGACGTGGGAATGCAAGAAGACAGACAGGCAGACAGAAAAGGATTTCTCAACAGAAATTCACATACCCTGTGCCCAAATATAACAGAACCTGCTGAGAAAGAGGCTCCCAACTTCGTCTATTTGTTTTGAGCTCTTTGATGCAACTTGACTCTTAGAAAAAAAATTGGATGGGACTTTAATCAGCTGTTGATTCTCTGCTTTTTCTTAGTGCCTATATGGCTGTGGTTCTTCATTTTCTAAATCTTTTTAGGTATACTTTCCAAGAAAAGCTTATTCTGGGGCAATTTTAAAATGCCCATGCCACAGAGAGGATCTGCTGGAAGTGCTTATTGAATTGAGGATATTTGGGTCTTACCCCCCACTGTCTTTGGTGGCCCTGCTCTTTCTTTTATTTTGGGCGGCTTCTACTCATTTCCAGCTTTTAATCCCTTGAGATCTCTGCTGTTTAGCAGGAGCTATGTTGTAAGATTTACCGTTTCACTTTTTGTCCTTTTTTAAGGCATGGAAGCTTAGTGTGGTTTTGCTCTTTGCCATAACTGTCCTAATAAATCACTTGTCCTGCATTATATCCTTTAAAAATGTTATGACATTGTCAATATCTCATAAACTCATCCTAGAAAACTTGGAAAACAAAGAAAATCAAAGAAAATTAAAATCTCCTGTAATCCCACAACCCTTATATAATCACCGCTTACCATATACAACACACACATGCATATGGTACGTGTATACATATATAAATTTCCTTCCAGCTATATGCAGTATGTGTGTCTTAAAGTTGGCTTTTATTAACTACTTACAATGTACTAAACACTAGGCTTTACATACCCTAATTTATTTATTTATTTATTAAAAAAATTTTTTTAATGTTTGTTTGTTTTTGAGAGAGAGAGAGAGACAAAGTGCCAGCAGGGGAGGGATAGAGAGAGAGGGAGACACAGAATCTGAAGCAGGCTCCAGCCTCTAAGCTGTCAGCAGAGACTGATGTGGGGCTTGAACTCAAGAATCGAGAGATCATGACTTGAACCAAAGTCTGACACTCAACCGACTGAGTCACCCTGACATCCTATACATATCCTACATACTCTAATAATACTCTAAAACTATGAGATTGCTATTATTATTTGCTCTTTTTAAAGGTGAGGAAACTGATGTCCAGAGGAGTTGTGTAACTGTTTCAAAGGCACACAGCTGTACAAGGCAGAAGAGGAATTTATGACCAGGGGATACCTCTGTCCCCTTCGCTTACCTTCTACATTGAACATGACATATTTAGAGTCTTCACTGTACACTGTGTTAGAACTGATATTTAAACACCATGATTACTCCACAACACACACACACACACACTCTAACAGCCAAGTGTTTTAAATAATTCAATAGCTGATATTGTCAAAACATTTGATTGTGTGCAATACGAACATATATATACAAAATATGAGTTTGGACTCCACATGACTTTATAAAAAATTCTGAACATGTGGCCATTGAAAACTCAGATATGGCCTGTCTTCTTGGGTTTTTGTACAAATGCTTATATCCATTATTACTGTTATTAGTGACACTGTAAATATATTTTTAAAAACTAGGAACTCAGGGGCGCCTGGGTGGCTCAGTCGGTTGGACGACCGGCTTCAGCTCAGGTCATGATCTCATGGTTTGTGGGTTCGAGCCCCACATCGGGCTCTGTGCTGACAGCTAGCTCAGAGCCTAGAGCCTGTTTCGGATTCTGTGTCTCCCTCTCTCTCTGGAGGTCTCTCTGACCCTCCTCTGCTCACGCCGTCTCTCTCTCAGAAATAAATAAAACATTAAAAAAATTAAAAACAAAAAACTAGGAACTCATAAATAAGTTCAGTATTTTAGGGTCTGCTCGGGGTAGAGGAGCATGAAACTGAAGGTGGAAAGTAAACTCAAGACCTGCTTTCCCTTCTACAGATCGACATGAATCTGTGTATGCCCATTTGCACTTAGGGTCCAACGGTAAATCTTTTTAAAATCTTGGTTCCTTCCTTAATCCTTCCTCCCCTAGCGTAAAAGTTTGGATCGTCTGGAATATAATTTCTCATTCCTCTTCAAAAGAAAGACAAAATATGTAAACCATGGGCTCCTCTCTGCTTACGTCAGAGCAATACATGAGTATTAATATAAACTAACCATTTGTCTATTAATGCTTGTAAAGAGCTTCATAGACGTACGGCATTTGGGACACGCTCTCTAGAGAAATGTGCCTTTGGAAAGAGGAACACAGAAGGAAGAAACCAGTGGTAAGAGAGATTACCTTTTACTCCCATCCAGAATGTGAACGGAAGTCTGCAGAGTGAGCCCTGAGCTGCCGTTTCCCCCTACGTTGAAGCCCATAGCAGCAGGAGGGAAACATTTCCAGAGACTGGGTAGCCTTGTCTGTAACATTTGTTTCTACACTCTATGTTACTGAGCTGTGTGGCAAGAAAGAGGAAAGTAAAAAGGAAATACTTTGGACTGAACAAAATGTCAGTGTGTCCCCAGTACTGGCTTCCTGATGATCTCCCAGGAGTCTCTCACATGCAGCACGGCTTTCCTGATGAGTGGTCACCCCACCAGTCTGAGGGGTGAGGGGATCTCTGGATCTCTTAGGGGCCTCCACACAGCTGTCTGCCCACAAGCCCACCATGTTGTGAGGAAGTGCAGGGCTGAGCACAGGGCAGGCTCTTAAAAGCTGTAAAGCATGGTTCTTAGTCATAGTGTCAAAGAGCCAAAGGAAAAAATCTTTCTGAAAATAAATCATAACCATTCTTGCAGCAGCTACTCTGCTAACCAGAGCAATCCATGAACGTCTGTGGACAGATTAGGATGTACTCCCCCTAGACAAATCTCTGTGGCCACATCTCAGCACCAGCAACCTCAAAAAGCCCATCTAGCCAAAAGTTTAGGACGTTAGCCTGAGCTCCTTGATATGTCTCCAGTATTCCTTGAAAGGAAGAGAGGGAAGGAGAGAAGGAAGGCAGGGCAGGAGAAGGGAAGGGAAGGAATCAATCCTTTTAAATGAGAAAGACAAATTATTTCAGAAATCAGCAGCTTCTCCTAATAGGTACCTAAGGTTTAGCTCTGTCATCCTAAGCAGCTGTTTTGATAGCACTTATTACAGCGTGAGCTCTGTGCTATCAACCTAGGGGGAAGAATCTTGCTGCTACGATGAATTTCATTTTTTCTTAAGAAGAAGAATTTCAAAGTGAGAGTTTGCTTTTGATAGAAATATTTGATACAGATACAAAGTTTCACAAATATGGCAAAGGATGTGAAAGGAGCAGGAGGTGGAACGGTCAGTGTCCCCTCAGCCCAACTCTCTGCAAATCCAGCACTTGAGCCACACAGACTGGTCCCTGAGCACAGACCCCAGATTCCCACCCCCACGTCTTTGCTCCACCTGCTCGCTCCGCTTGGGACCCCTGTCCCCTCACTTCTTGTTGAATCCTTCCTCCTACTTCAGGTCCCGTCAGGATTTTCCATGATTCTTGTCCTATTTTTTGCTTTATTTTAGTTACATGTATAGTTGACATTTCTTCTTCAGGGAAGGTAGGCTGCGTGAGTGCTGGCCACCATTTCTTTCCTCGTCCTTGAGCTCTCCGTGGATCTAGCGCAGTGCCCTCGACAGACAAGATACTTGGTAGGTGTTTGTGGAGCAGGGATTTTGCTTACGGTAAAGGAGGCTGAGTTGAATCACAGTGAAAGGGCTCCAAATCTCCTCACTGTTTCCCCCTCAGGCTTCTGTTTATCCCATCGCGTGTGGGAGCTGCATCCAAAGGAGCGAGTGCTAGAGTCCATCCACAGCACGGCTGCTGGTGGCGGCAGTTCAGGTACCCCGGTCTGTCTCATCCCTTCACTGCTGCCCTTCCAGGCCGGGTCCCTGTCATTTCCCATCTGGACAGCTACAGTGGCCTCTTCAGACCCACTGATGTTGGTACACAGCTGCTGGACTAAACTTCCTTTGTCTTTATTTTGAGAGAGAGAGTGTGCGCGTGAGCAGTGGTGGGGCAGAGAGAGAGGGAGAGAGAGAGAATCCCGAGCAGGCTCATAGTTCAGCATGGCGCTCAGACTCATGAACCACGAGATCACAGCCTGAGCCGAAACCAAGAATCAGACTATTCAACCGACAGCCCCCCAGGCTCCCCTGGACGAAACTTATTAAGTCACATATGAGATCATGTCCCTCCCTCGCCTAAAACCCTTTCTCCCTAGCTCTTACAAAACTTTGAAATGACTCGGTTTTTTTGTTGGCTTTGTGATCTCCTGTTTCCCCCACATGCCTGCAAGTTCTGCGGGGTAGGAGCCATCTCCGTCTGGTGCACTGTCCCCGCGGCCTCTAGCACGGGGCTTGCAATATAGCAGATGTTCACAAACATTTGTTGGGTGAATCGATAAAAATGCAGAATTGTTATCACTTTCCTTCATGGTACAAACCTTGCTCTGCCTCCCACTTTCCTGGTCCCTGCTTCTTATTTCCACACTGGGACTGGAACTCACTGGGCAAATGACCATGGCGGGGCTCTGGATCTGAGTCTTCCAGAAGAACCTCTGTCTTTAGTTTTGTTGCAGAACCAGAGAACACATCCCCGTGCTCTGTGCATGCCCCACTCATCAAGGAACAGCCAGTAATAACGGCACAGGCTTGCTCTTGGAACTTCCACCGCATCCCTGGTAGCTTCCCTTGTAATATCAATCATGAGACCACATTCCAAAGACCCCAGAGAGGTGAGTAAGTTTCATGGTCTGCCAAATAAGATAGTATCCACTCTGCTAAGAAAATACCATGATAAAGTTTCATGAGAAATTAATAATGCACTGTTCCCCTTGTGCTTCTGAGAGATCTTAAAGACTTGTAGACAGATATTTTCGTTGTCTCAGCCTGTTGAAATAGAGCACAAAATACAAAGGCGATATTGAATAAAAGAAAGAATATTTGTGTATGTGGTCAGGACTGATGCACATTTTTGCCACTGATTTGATTGCGTATTTTTTTTTTTTTTTGAAACAGTGTCACATAATTAGCCAAGTCCATATTCAGGGCATCCATAGGTCCAAATGCCTCTATTATTATTATTATTATTATTATTATTATTATTTATTGATGGAAACCTAAATATCTCATCATAATTCATCTTGGAGGATACATGGTGTGGCAGAGGCATTTTATCATGGTTGCTGTGGCTTCTGAAAGCACAGCTTCAAACCACATGGAAGTCTGTCATGGCCATCTAGGAGGGGGCAGGCTGGTTAGGAAGGTCTGGGTCCTTAGAAATAAATGCAGGTGATGCCAAAGCAGTTTTTCAGATCTGGGAGGATTTTCAGAGATTTGCTGTGGCTGGTGTCGTTTTGCAGGCTGGTCCCAAGGAAGCAGAGTTTCTTCTGTTCCTCTGTTCAACCTCCTTCTCTCCTGGCCCCTTATCTTCACCCATTCTCGCACTAGCTGCTTACAGTTGCGGCCATTGTTTCCCACCAGAGGACCATGTATCAGAGTCTCCTGAAGAACTTAAGAAATATTTGATTCTCAGTGCTTTCTCTAGACTACTGAACCAGAATTTCTTGGGCTTGGGCCCAAGAATCTGTATTTTCACAAAGCCCTGGAGATAATTCTGACAAGTAGCCAGGATTGGGAATCACTGGTGGTGTGGAAAGAATTCTATTCACACCTAAACTCAACCACCAGCTAACTACCTAAGCAACTTTAGAGAAGTCAGTTGTTGGACCATCAAGAAAACAGAAGAAATGACACATATATAATAGAGTTGTTTACTCTAACTCATGTGTATTTAATAGGCGGAGTTAGTTAATACTCCACTGGTGACCCAGAAGCTCCCCAGAGTCTTTTTCTGAAATAGTGTTTAGCTTCCTCTTCTGTGTTTAATTCCTTATGAAACTTGGTTTCTCCCTTTGTCGGTCACCAAGCATAAGGCCATATGTAGATGAATCACGAGACCATCATGCCATGTGTTCTAAGAGCCTTCCAAGTTCAATGCTACAAGAAACATTCAACATTTAATGCATATTGTTTCTCGATATCTCTTTCCAAATTGCCAGTACAGTTTCCATTTCTGGGAAATTACATAGACATGTCTGGATCCAACTCTTTTATCTTTGCATTTCCAACTGCTCTGTTTTCCTTCTTTCTTCCCATCAAATTCTCATATTTTGACAGTTTTAAGACCAGCTCTTCCTTGATCTTTTCCTTCCTATAATATATTGAATTGAAATGAGCCCATTCTCCTTGGTGTGCCTTCTCTCCAAACACAAAATACTCTGAAGTTCAGATTCTCTTTCTCTGAGCGGGTTAACATCACAAAAAGTTTGTGGTTTCATCCATCATAAACAAGAGTGTTTTAAATGAACTCTGCTTCTTTTCTACAAGCATCACAGAAAGGTTGGGATACAGTGAAATGAATTTTCAGTAAGAAAAGTTACTTACTAAAAAATAGTGGTGATAAAAGTATGCAAATTGATTCAGTAGAAGGAATTTGTAAAATGCTTTAACTTAAAAGGAAATACTCTTGAAGGCATCCACAATGAATCAGAAGGAAAACACTCCCGTCTCTTGAAAGAGCTGTTTACTCTGTTCAGTGTTGACAAAATGTATCCAAAAAAGCTCTTTCTGCTAAGAAGTGGAGGAAGAAGGCAAACTGCATGTGAAAGCGTTTGATCATATTTCATTTGGGAACGTTACAGTTTTGCCTGTGTAGCTAGTTGATCTGAGCATATTAACAAACCTAGTATTAGCTGCTGACAGTGTTTTGTATTGAACGCATTCATTTGTAAAAATAGAAGAAATACTATATTTACATTTTCAATCCTTTTCTTTATTTAAAAAAAAAAAACACTGCAATGTGGTTTGAGTTGTGAATCCATTGAAGACATCTTTGATGAATCAACAGTCAAGGCATATGTAAAAAGTGATTTGGAAAAATTTCTCATGTGTTGTTGAAGGGGGGTGGGGAGAAATAGGCTGTTGGGGCATCTGTCCATTGTCTTTCTGGCCCTTCCACTGGTCCCTTTCACTCTCTAAGTTCATCTGCTGTTACAGTAAAAATACCCCCCTCTCTCTAACGCCAACCTCTCTGAGAATTCTCTGGGATATGATTGACTAGTTGCAAAGTAACGTGACCTTAGTGAATAACTGGTGCCGTCTAAATATGATGCATTAGGCCCCATCAGACACTGTAAAATAGCATCATCCAATCTGAAAGCTTCCAAAAGCTGTACAGGGCAAATCAGCTAAAAGCCCAATTCAAAAAGCCCCAACAATAAAAAGCCAAAGTATAGTGAGAAACTGAAAAAAAAAAAAAAACTAAAACAAAAACTACCCCCATCTTCATCTTTTTGTTCATGCCACTGTACATGAGGGGGGAAATGGTCCCATGTCAATACTGTTGATAATGCTGGAGTTGTATTTACATCCTTGCTATAATTACTTATTTTCTTTAGCACATACTTTATTGCATCAAATAAGATGGTTTCTTTTCTTTTTTTTTTTTGAAAAGAGTAACCTCTGAAATTCTACCATCTACCATTTTACCACACTTTCTCTTTGGAGCCTTTATCAAATGGTGTGTTAGTGGGGGTCCTGGGTGGCTCAGTTAGTTAAAGTGTCTTATTTCTGCTCAGATCATGATCTCGCCGTATGTGAGTTCAAGCCCCACGTTGGGCTTGGTGTTGTCAGTGCAGCGCCTGCTTCAAACCTTCTGTTTCCCTCTTTCGCTGCCCCTTTTCCACTCACGTGCAGGCTCTGTCTGTCTCTCAAAAATAAATAAACATTAAAAAATAAAAAACAGGTGCCTGGGTGGCTCAGTCGGTTGAGCGCTCGACTTTGGCTCAGGTCATAACCTCACGGTTTGTGGGTTCGAGCCCCGCGTCGGGCTCTGTGCTGACAGCCAGCTCAGAGCCTGGAGTCTGTTTCAGATTCTGTGTCTCCCTCTCTCTGTGACCCTCCCTTACTCATGCTGTCTCTCTCTCAGAAATAAATAAAACATTTAAAAAAATTTAAAAATGCTGCATTGGTGAACTGAGATCAGAACAATGATACTAGACCTATGACAGAGCACTCAGTTTACCTGTGCTTCAGATATGGAAAATATAAATTTCCTGATTATATGGTTTAGACAAAGTGGAGAAGGGGAATAGGCTATGAAATGATGACTACCTTCACTCCTCAGAATAATAGTTTATGAATGCTGGTTTAGATTAGTGTATCTATCGTAATCATAGTTAACATTCAAAACCTTGTCATATGTTACCACTGTGGTAAGTACTTTAAATCTTGGACGTGGTCAGCTGGCACACAATATTTACTTCCATCAATTTCTCTGTTCGTTTTTGTGTTACAGGGGCTAGAAAGCTAAATATTACATTAGCTGATTCCCTGGCAACTAGGATTCTGGAAGCACAATAAAACACCAAGTAAATACACCCCCACAAAATTACAAAGACAGAAGGCAAAAGAGAAAACCTTTTTTCTGCTGATGTTTCTGCTACGAGAGACAGTAGCTGCAAGCAAAATCAGCATTCCTGTCAAGACCATGGCTTTGGGGTGTCATACATCGGTCCTAGCAGTGTGATCAGCCAACGTCCCCTGATCTCTGATGAATCCCAACTATGTTGGAGACAGTTAAGCCCAGCTGTGGGTCCCTGCCTCTTGCTCTGCCCCATCTTCAAATAATTTTGTAAGCACCCAATTCCTTGTATTAAATCACTTTCATCTGGAATATCCAGAGCAAAGAATTTGTTTCTTGCACTGAAATCGGCTAAACTGTGATGGTACAGGATCAAGTAGATAACAATTTGCCTACAGATAGCTAAAGATTTATTTATGTATTCTGCTACAAACTACATGATGGGAGAGTCTGTCTTGGACATCTTTGTGTGAGACACCCAAATCCCAGAGCACGGCTCAGTATTTGGCATCTTGAATAGGTAAGTTGCTAGCAAAAGAATAAATGAATGATTAAATGAATGGTATTGTGATGAGTCCTACCAAGGAAAGGGATGCTAAAAAATGAAAAATTCATAGGATGCCCTGCTTGTGGATAAATTGCTATAATTGCCAAATTGGTTTATTAAAATGTTTCTCACCCTTCATGTGTTCAATTGCCTCAGCTAAGAACTATTACAAACATTTTTATGTTTCCTGTGTATACATTTTTGGTTTCCATTGGTTTCTGCTTATTGACAAGCTCTTCTGCCATATTAAATTCATCAAACGATAGAACATTCAGTCTGTTAGGATGAGCTTTTAGGTCTATCTCATTCCAATCTGTAGTACCTCTTTTCCTAAAAGAATCTTTCTTTATAACTTCTAAGTCAATGTTTCTAAATCCAAATTCAAGAGCATATTTCCACTAGAATCTTTGTAAACACCCTGTCTTTGCTTACAAGCTTCAGCAGCCAAGATCCGCCATCCAAAAATCTCTTGCCAGTTTTTGCCATGGTTTATTCTGTGTCCATTAGCAATCAAGTTTTCTTTCAATAAATAGTTATGATAATGTTGGCCACCCCCTTCTTGCAGGGCTGGTGGCCACCAAATCTGCTATATTGTACACATTTTCTTTCAATTGCCAAACCAAAGTGTATTTTAGGAGGAAATTTAATCCATATGTTTCTGATTCATCCACAATGAAGTCACCAGACTGTTTGGAGAGAACAGCCTGACAGCCACAAAGTCTTGGTAGGGTCTCTCTTTTCCTTTAGAAACAGGAAGTTAAGAATGCAAAATGCCAGCACCTCAAATCTTGCCGTGTTTAGGCTGCTGGAAAACCCCAGGCTTCAAGGAATGTTACTTTTTCAAGCGATGTGCCTCTTAAAATAGGTCTGGCTTTCAGTGGATCTCGTGAATGTCCTGCGAATTTTTTTTGAGGAGGGACGGAACTGAACCCCCTCACTGATTCTTCCTTGGGGCCACCTTCCTGGGCTCTAAACAAGCTTCCCATTGACTGGCCAATGTTTCCCAAAGTCACTTCGTTCTAATTCCCAAAGCTTTTGCCAGAGCACTTGATAGAGTTACAGGTGGCATATGCCCTGTGTGCTCCCTACATGCTTTTGGGATGTTCCCATGGTCAGAGGCTCACTAGAAGATGAAAGCCTATGATGTAACCCAATGCTGAACCTGCCCACAGATTTGCTCTCAAGGTAAGCAGGACCACTACAGTGGTCTGGTCTAGTTCTCTAATAAATAGGTTATGCACAGCTATCCCTGAAGTGCAGCAAATTGAGGTATTTGGCTAGAATTCTGTGTTCTGACACATCTTAACTGCTGCCATTTGGGCAGTAACTCAGGAAAGAGGGGAGAAGCTCTACTGGCTGGTGTTAAAAGGACTTGAGAATCATATATACGACTGAACGCCAATCTGTCAACCCTACCCAAGCAAGAGGTAATAATACCCACCTTCCTTCTTTATGCATAGTCTGGGCAATCAACCTTTTATGACTTCTTTATTTTTTATTGTTTTTATGATTTATTTTTTAATTTACATCCAAGTTAGTTAGCATATAGTGCAACAATGATTTCAGGAGTAGATCCCTTAATGTCCCTTACCCGTTTAGCCCATCCCCCCTCCCGCAACCCCTCCAGTAACCCTTTGTTGTTCTCTATATTTGAGACTCTCTTATGTTTTGTTCCCCTCTCTGTTTTTATATTATTTTTGCTTCCCCTCCCTTATGTTTTTATAACTTTTTAAAAACATCCCACAGAGTTCATTCATTCAGAAACTATTGCTTTCGTCAGGCCCTAAGCAAAGTACCAGGATAGAAAGAAAAATGAGGCACAATCCATGGCCTCATCTTTGAGGCCATAATCCAGTAGAGTTTATAATCCAGTAGACTGAGGCAGACACATAATAAGCAAAGGAGTGTCAGGTAGCAGTGTGTATGGGGGAAGAGTGTCCAGGGTGTCTGACCTCAAGTTCCAGCTCTGCCACTTACTACTTGTGGAGTCTTGGTTAAGTCAGGGAACCTCTTAGCTTCAGTTGCTTCATGGAAAAAATGTGAGGAGGGAGAACTAAATGAATCACATATATAAAACTTGCTCTGCATATATAGTAACTCTTATTATTATGCTCTTTTACAGAGACTGGAAGTGTGAGGCCTCATATCACAGAGGAGAGTGGTAAGAGAGTCAACACTACTTGATTTGGGGGAAAGAATGATCTCTGACCCCACTGTATATCTAGGTGAAAATTGCTGGGAACAAGATCTTCCCATTACATTGAAGTTCATATTCTCCCAGAATTAAGCCTGATGGAATGTATAGATTTAAGAGCCACTTATAAATCACACTGAGAATAGAGGCGCCTGGGTGGTTCAGTTGGTTAGGCATCCAACTCCAGCTCGGGTCACGATCTCGCAGTTTGTGAGTTTGAGACCCACATTGGGCTCTGTGCTGACAGCTCAGAGCCTGGAGCCTGCTTCTGATTCTGTGTCTCCCTCTCTCTCTGCCCCTCCCCTGCTTGTGCACGCACGCGCTCTCTCTCTCTCTCTGTCTCTCAAAAATAAACATTAAAAAAGTGCCTGCATGACTGACAGTGCTTAAGCAATCCTTGCTCCCCCACTCCAGACTGATGTTTTCTGGGGTTCTTAAACAATTGTTTGCAGGAGCCCTAAGAAAAGAGATTCTGGACCACCTGCCAGGTATATACTTCAATAATGATTGAAAACATAAAAGACACGTATTTATGTTGATTGCACAGAGAGGAGGAACACAGCAGCCCATCAGGTGCTCCTTGCCATTTGGATGCTCTCATGGATAGTCTTTCCCTCCTCAAAGTACATGTCTGCTGATTCCCAGCACCGTCACTAGAATAGGGCTCCCGGTAAGATTTCACTAAACTGCTCCTGCAGTCCTTGGGTGTCAGAGAAAAAGCAATAACTATTGTATTTCATGTTGCTTTAATTTTGTGGTAATAATGAGATCATTGTGTCTAGAAATGGGGGCTTTCACAGATGTGGAATGAACTAGGCTTTGAACAGAAGCTCCTACAACTTCCTGCCCAACCCTACCCTGGCTCGGCAACCTCGGCCTCCATTGTCTTTATTTACCACTCCATCTGGCTCGCAACGCCACCCCCGAAATATGGACCTTTGCACACTGCATCAGCTTCGTTGGTTTAGCTTTATTGCTGCCACCTTCCCATCTCTTGGTGGTGCTTCTCTCCCGGCACACTCATACCTACATCAGTGTTTTCTACAAGTCATTTAATGAAGAAGCACCAGAACAGTGCTTCTCAACCATTTTCAACCCACACCACTTAACTATTTTTTCTTTCTTTCCTGCACATGCCCTCTAGCCAAGTAGTAACTGTGATGGTTAACTGCACCCTTCCCTCACCCATCACCCCCTGAGGATTCTGGCATCTGCTCCACGGTCCTCCCTGGAGGACTGACTTTCTCTAGCAGACTATCTACCAGACATTTGCTGTTTTAAATAAATATTTCTGTTTTCTTGGCTCCCTTGTCCCCCTGAGCCAAGGCAGTGGCACCTTAGTGATCACTGTGTGATGCTGTGGCAGATACAGAACTGGACTTCTGGTCCTGGGCCCCATGCCTCGGGCTATGGCTGTTATCTGTGACATTTCTCAGTGAAGCTTGGTATCTCTGAAAGGTTTCAAAGGAAGGGGGAGGAGGAAAGAATGGTTCTGGTGCCTTTTGTATCTAGCTGGGTAAATAAGAAAGGTCTACTTTCTCTCTCCCGGAAGCAAGAATGGAGGAAATTCTCTTCTAGAAAGTTCCCAATGTAAATGCCTCCAGTGGTAGGGCTGTGTGTCGTTCGTCCTCATGCTGTGTAACTGGTCCCCAGGGCCTCCAGCTGGCTGTGCCCACAGCGGGAGTTCAGTCACGACTAACGGCTGATGGTGTTAGCAAATTTGCCTTACATTCTGGCCACCCTGCTGAGTATGTCAGTATTCTTTTTCTTCTTTCTTTTGTCTTCTTTAGGGGTGTGTGTGTGTGTGTGTGTGTGTGTGTGTGTGTGTGTGTGTGTGTGTTGTGGATAGGTGGCGGGGAGAAATATAAACAACCTTGCTGGTGTCAAAGATCCTTGGCTAGAGCATTGCAGAAAAGCAGACCCCAGGGGTGAGTTAATAACCCTTCCGGCTCCCAGGAAAATTGGTGTGTTTCTTCTGTAGATACATCCCAGACTCTCCCAGAAAGAAATAGCCTTTTTGCATCAATCAGTCTTATGAAGGTCCCCCTTCTTTACTGTTTCAAGACACCTTTCTCCTTCTATGAGAATCCCTTCTCCTCCCAGGAACTCTGACCCATCACCACCACTACCACCAGATTCTCTCTTCTGTGGAATCCTTTGCTATGTCCCTTCTCAGTACTCCAGGGAAATTCTCTTCATTAATCTTCCTTTTTGCTTCCTAACCTTTTCCATAACCTTATCCAGTAAAGCGTTATACCTTGTCCTATGTTGTTATTTCTAGGTCAGTGCTTACCATACATAATCTACTCTTCAACTATGAATTGTGGTCGTATTGTAGAATAATCACAAATTTAGAGATAGAAGTACAACAAATCCCCATGTGCCCATGACCCAGCTTTAACAATGATCAATTTAGGGCCAATCTTGATTGATCTATACCCCCAATACCCCTCCCATCATCATTGGGTTATTTTAAAGAAACTCCAAGACATCTTCCCACTTTATCTATAAATAACTCAGTATTTATCCCTAAGAAATAAGAATTCTTTTTAGAAAATATAGCCATCATACCACGTAACACTTAAATAAACCAAATATCCAGCCAGTCATTAGTCAATTGTCTCCTCAATGTTTTTTTTTTAATTTGATTTGTTTGAGTCAAGATACAAATAAGACACATCGTATTTAGTTTGTTTTGTCTTTTAAGTCTTTTAAGATCTAAAACAGTGGGGTCATGATCTCACTGTTCATGAGTTCGAGCTCTGAGTTGGGCTCTGCACTGACAGCACAAAGCCTGCTTGGGATTCTCTGCTTCTCTCTCTCTGCCCCTTCCTGTGCACATGTGCTCTTTTGCTCTCTCAATATAAATAAATAAATACATATTTTTTTAAAAACCTAAACAGTTCCCACCTCTTTGTTTTCAGTTCCTGCCATTTATTTATTGAAAACTGCTAGGTCACTTGTCCTATAGTTTCCCCCATTCTAGATTGTGGTGATTGCTTCTCAGCAGTGTGTTTAACATGTTTCTTTCCTCCCTGTGCTTGCTGTTAACAGGGAGTTAAACCTAGAGGCTCAGGTTAGATTGTTTTGGCAAGAATATTTCCTTGACATTGTTTCTTATTAATCACACCAGAAGGCACATAATATCCACCTCTTTTTGATCTGATTGACCAGTGGGTTCAGGTGCTGCTGGTCTGATCTACCCATCAGGAATCAACTCTTGGTTTTTTGAAGCCATTGATCATGGTTGGCCATGAAGATAGATCTTTTTTTTTTTTTTTTAATTTTTTTTAAATTTATTTCTTAGGAGAGAGAGAGAGAGAGAGAGGCAGCGTGAGCAGGGGAGGGTCAGAGAGAGAGGGAGTCACAGACTGAAACAGGCTCCAGGCTCTGAGCTGGCAGTCAGCACAGAGCCCGACATGGGGCTTGAACCCGTGAACCGCGAGATCATGACCTAAGCGAAAGTCGGACGCTTAACCGACTAAGCCACCCAGGCACCCCGATAGATCTCTTTTGGAAATGTACACGGGAAAAGTTTTTCTGTCCTCTTCTTTCTTTCTCAAGGACGCTTCATAACAAACTTTTATATTCCTTAGTGACTGCCAGCATGGTTCACACTGCTATTCTCAACAGTGATTTCTAAACTTTCGAGAGTCACAGATCCCTTTGAGAATCCAGAACTTTGTAAGAAGAAAAAAAATGCATAGGCTCATAGCATTCCAGTTAGTGTCAGAATATGCTGGCTCTCAGTTTTACCCTGTACTCAACAAGCTTGTGGTACAGCTCTGACTTTGTACAGCATCTTGTTACCCTGACCTTTCCCTCTAACTTGAAGACTTTACCTTCCATACAGGTGATTCTGCCTTTTGTTCCCTGACCTCCTGGTTTTCCTACTTCTCCAAGGCCATTGATCTGTAGCTCCACTCAATTCTGACTACTTTTTGTAGTTGTCCCCACTGAGACATCACTTATTGTCACTTGAAAATTTTCCTTTGTCAAAAATCCAACCTCATCATCCCCCTAACTGCCAATTCCTTGACTTTATTTTGGTCCACATCATTTCCTACATTCTTTTGACTTCTCAGATCACTGGTCTTGGCTCGACCCGTAACAAAGGGTCAGATCTTGAATGGGACATCTCAGTGTTGCTCTCTCTGATGTTTTAGGATCTTTGACTTGTTGATGTGACTTCCTTCTCTGTCCTCTCTGCTTTTCCTCCCAAGGTGCTGAGAGTGGCTGGATAAGGTCACCGAACAATGCTGACAGGGTCCTTACAAATTCAGACTAAGTTGGTGTCAGTACAGTTCCCCCATTTTCCATTCATCTTTTCCTAACCCTCTCTTTCTGTGCTACTCAGATGCTGTTCATGGACCGGCGACGTCAGCATCACCTTATAAGAAATGCCAAAACCTGAGGCCTACCCTGGACCTACTGTAGCAGAGTGTGCATTTTTAACCATGAATCATATTTACACTAAAGATCAAGAAGCACCATGCTCTGTTCCCCACATTGGTTGTTCTACATTTTTCTCACAGTGCTTAATTCTTGATTCCCCCGGTGGATGATCCTATCAGTCAAGGTCCAATAAGGAAAACAGAGAACACTCTAAAGATTTCTAACAGAAGGAATTTAATATAGAAAATGGTTACACGGGTGATGGAAGAGTCAGGAAGCCCTACTGGGGTGGGTGAAATAACCCAGAGATTAACAATATGGCAGAGGCCATGGCCTCCTTGGGCTTCAGGGACCCAGGGAAGAGGCCAGATGACTGGATCCATGCTCCCCTAGCAGGAGATGGGCCCTTAAGAGAAGATGCAGCTCCTGAGAGAGAAAACAAAATGCCTTGTTTTCTGCCATCTACTTCCACTCTCCTCTCAGTGACCTCATATTAAATGCAGAGGTCAGCTGACCAGAGAGCCTCAGAAACCCAGTCTGCCACTCAGAGAACAGCAGGGGAGGGCAAAGGAGACATCTCAGGGCAAACAGGCCAAACACAGGCACTGACCTTATCTCCTCCTGCTCTGCCTACACTTCTTTCCTCAGGACCTCAAAACATCTGCTGTTAGCCATTTTTCCTTCCTTCTGTCCAAGCTCAGAAAGAGAGATATCGTTTGTTTTCTCTAAGAGTTAAAACTGGAATGAAAAGTAACTAGACGCCCACAAAACACAAGATTCATAGGACAAGCCCTCTCAGCTCCGTATGGCTCTAGAACACAAGGGAACTATCTTTTGGAATCAGGTGGCGAGGGTGCTGCTGAAACCGTGCTATGAAATATGGCGAAGCTGGCTGCTGATGCTCTCTAGAAAAAGTGTCTCCTGCTATGAAAACACATGCCAATACCTTTCTGGCTTTTTATAAGTGATAACAACAGACTCCTGTGTTAACTAAGATGGTCAAGCTGTTTTTTAGATAAATGTGCACTCATTAAAATTAAAACCAAGAATGATCTTTCTCCCTCAATGCTTTCTCACTGCTGTCTCCCTTTTATAATAGATCAGGAAATCAAGGCCAATGATATCAAAGCCTGAAACTGTTGTCTTCTTTACGGTGAAGAGTTGTAAAAAGCATGGAAATAACCTCAGCAGTGAACTGAATCCTGCCCGCCTTCCACTAATTTGACTTTATGACTTGGGAGGACTTAGCTGACTGAAAATTGCACATCTTTTCAGAAACAGGTAGGAGAGCGTGCCTATATCTGTAGCTCTAAACTTTAAAAGCGGAGTGTCACTGACCGACCTATCCTGTGATCAGAGAGATGCTTTACGACCCAGATTGTATACTCTGCTGCCTGAGGAAATGGTTGGGGTCAGTCTGAGCCCCCGATGCACCCACAGAGCCTGGCCCTGTGCCTGGCATGTGTTAGAAACCAAAATATTTGCTGAATAAACACAGTAACTCAAAGTCAAAGATCTCAGTCATCATGTACTGCCTGTCCCACTTCTAGATTTTTGTGGAAGCCAGGAGTCTCAGTCCCACCATCTGTAAAATGGGGATAATAATACCAGCCCCCCACTTACATCACAGTATTAGTGTTAAGATCAAGATCGTGTTGTGAGTTCTAGTAAGCAAATAGTTTTTATAATGATCTATTGTTTTTATAATAAAAGAGCTTCACACACCAATGCTTGCACACATTTATTAAGATGTAGCCAAGTGAAATGCGTCCACTCCTCCTCTTGAATACAATCTTCTTTATTGATGTGTAACAATGCCCAAGGGCTGGGTGAACTACATAATCAAAATCAAATGCCAGCTCTTTACAGACTTGGCCAAAACAGTGCCGCCCAAAACACCATTTTAAATTGCAAGAAATCTGAGGACATTTCATTCATAGTCTTGCTTTTTACTGTTGTTGATATATACACCTTAATTTTAATGCCCGTTGCAGACCCACATTTAAAAAGAAAAGAGCTCTTATTCTAATTTAGTAGAAAGCAGAGCTATCAGTGTGAAGGACAATGCAGTTTCAAAATACAGCTGCTTTTCATCCATACTAGTCTAAATTAGAAACATGCTACCATTCACAGGGGCTCTAATAACACGTGCACATAAGCAGTACTGAGGCCTCACGGGCGGTGTGGGTTTCTACCCAGCATCTTCACTTTACTCTGGGTCCTTATCCTCATCTGAAAAATGGGGGACTGACTTCTTGGCGACAACGTTGTCCAGTCTCTGTCCTTGTAGATATGGATTGATACTCTGAAAAAGAAAATAGGGTTTGGTATTATACCTGAGTACCTGACACAGACATCTCACAAAAGAAAAGTCACAAGTACTAATGGTTTCTGGTCCATTGGATTAAAAACAAGGTAACAGTGCACCTACCGAATGATTATTCCAGCGCACCTTCAATATCTCAGTGGCCTAAGAAACACTGTTCAACTGGCAGATGTGTCTAATTGTGTCTTTCACACAACCAAAGAGTTAGTTCTTTGGTACGAAGTTTTGGAGTGAACCAGCTAACAAATTCTCACTATGAACTTAGATACCAAGCCCCATATGAAATAAAATTTTTATTCTATGGCCTTATTTAGTGGGAGAGAGAATGTGAAATGCATTAAATTATTTAATAAGAACGTTCTCAAGAAGGTGAAATGTCGGAGTTAGCGTCTGTTGGCACATCACAGGACATCCTGTTGGTGTATTGATTCCTCCATGCTGGTGGTATTCTACCTAAAGAGGATTCATCAGTGACCTAGCAGTCATTTCTACCTTCCCTCAGTCAAGTTCAAAAGCTAAGGAAGAAAAGAAGTAAGTGATATACAAGGTGCCTTTATTTTGGACTCAAGACTTTGAAATCTTTCATCTGTTGCTATTCTGAATGAGTCAAGGTTTTTCCATTCCTTCTCTAATACATATCCACATTTTGAGGTTTGGATTTGAACTAGTAATTGGAGCTTTACAACATAGTATTTAGCAAGCAGAAAAAATTTCGAAAGTTTTGGAAGATATTTGTTTATTGAAGTCACCTTCCAATAACTGAACAGAAATATAAGAAAGAAGCTGTTGCTACAAATGATCCTCCATCCCAAGTCTCCATGAATGGATAGGAGGCAGTTCACAGGTGGGTCTCTCTCGACAATGGGACATAATATGCCTTGGCTCTTTTGAAGGGTGAGCAGGGCATTCTCCAAGAGAGATTCTGTAAATGTCCTTCCACATTCTGAAAGCTAAATGCATGAATCATGAAAGGCCCAATGCATCCAGCAAAAGTGCACTACAAACTGAGAATTACAAAGTGTACAGCGTCCTCATACCTGAAAGGTGACATGTCACGAAAACACAGCACTTTGCTGGGAAGGCATCTCTAAAATGTTCAAAATAACTAAAATGCTTTCTATCACAGAGATTGTCAACTAGAATGGCCTGGCCTACTCCAGACAGTCACATTAAAATTTCCAGGTAGGTGACTCAGGTGTGCACTGAAAAAGTGTACTCAATATCATAAATATCTTTATTGTTTTGTAGTAACAATATTTACTCTGGAAATTGTAAGACCTTAAAAAAGGATATGAGATTTTCATATTTATTATGGGAATCAAAGGTTGATCATCTTAATGGTTAAAGTTTGCAAAGGTGATCATTTAAAGGGGAACTGACTTTCTACTCACGAAGCAAGTGGAATTCAGTTATTTTGAGCAGATACATAAAGTTACATAAAACCACCTAGGGGTCTGTTGTAACTTTGGGGAGAATCCCTCTGGGTAAACGGACTTTCAGAGAAGCAAGTCCTTTTTCCCAGACCTAGAAAATAACAGATATTTGGGGGGACGGGAAGTAAATTAGTGAGGATGCAAAAGGAGCAATCACTTGAACTTTTTTGATAACTGTTCATTAGTATTGAATCCTATACTTAAGACGAAGAATGATAATACTTGATTTTAATTACCTCTGAAGAACTCAAGGTACTTACGTATATATCTTCTCTCCTAGGTGAGAGAGACTGGCTAGGTTACAGAGAGAACTTTTTTCCCCCCATTTCATAACTGGAAGAGCCACTGGGAGCCTCTAGAAACCCAGAGCAGATAACTGAGCTTCATTGGAGAAAGCCCTGGTGATGGGTGCACTTGAGGAAGTGATTAAAGTCTTCAGTCAGTGGGAGCATCACCTAAGGCCTGATGGCAGGGGAAGCAAGTTCTTTTTCCCCCCGAGTCCCAAGAGGGTCATGATTTATGGCATGACCGTGGGTTTTTGTAGATGTCTGAGAACAGGAAGAACTTGGTATGACTGGGTCAAAATGACCCTTATTTTCATAAATTCTAGGCCTTTCCTACGTGGAGGAAGTTGAGGCCAAAGTACAATCCTTTATAACATGTGTTCTTGCCAGAATTCTGAGTTTTGGTAATCACTGGTCTCATGGAAAGATGACCTAAATCCTGACCCACAGTCATTAGCCGAGTCAGGGCAGAAGGAATGGTGAGCCAGGAAGTAGAGACAATGAAAGCTTCATGCTAAGTTTTTCATTTTGGGTCGGTCATTGGTCTTACTGGGAAATGTTCTTGCTGTGCCATGGGGAGATACTCAAGCCATCCTACCGGTTAAGTATGTGTATTCTCAGATCCTGAAATAGAATTTCTTGATGTTCTCTCAAGACCACATTACACCCTTCAGATCCTTCCTGTCACCATTTGCCATTGGAAACCGTAATCACCCCCCCCCCCAAAAAAAAACAACCTAATAACCCTGTTAAATTTCCCAAAGAAGATCTGTTTCCAGACAGTTTTGCTTCTCAAACAGAAAACTGGCCACGTGTCATCTGTATATTGTCAGGCAGCACAGGGGCTTGGAACTTTCTGTTGCGTGAACTAATGCTGCGTCCAGAAAATCTACACCTCTTCAGGCACTCTGCCTGGATTTGGCAAAACCATGCAGAATGGCCACAACTACTACTGTCCAGAGTCCCAAACTTTGCCAGGATCCAGGCACTTGCTGTTCTTAAGAAACAGTGGCTTTGGGTATGTGGTTTGGTTTGTTTATTTAATTAATGTGCTCACTACATGGCACTTTGCTATGTAATCACAGGACTTTAACTTTTTCCTCCACCTGATCAGAGAAGGAAAGGTGGAGGGGGCCAGTCAGTTCTGTCCACTAGGGCGCCAATGGGTTGTCAGAATACTCACTGATCACTTATTCAGTCTCCATGCCATTAAATGCATTGTAAACCCAAAGCAGACTTGACATTCAGCTTTACAAGAGGCAACACCCTAGCGGCTCAATGCACAACACCCAGACCAACGTCCCACCGTGGGCGCCCCTGAGATGGTAAATAACGAAGGGGCAGCAGATACATCAGTCAGCCAACAAATGTAACAGATGGAGAGGGTTTCACATCAGTTTGTGCCAAGGCCGGAAAAGGGGGGTGGGCTAGGTGAGGAAAAAGCTACGGAGGAGGAACAAGGGTTGTTCATCTCATCCTTTGCCCCTACATTCCTTCAAAATTATTGCCTGGAGCTTGCAGTTCAGCAAGCACTTCCTTGTTCCTGTCTTTTGTTTTTATAGAATCGGTGCAGATGTGTGCACAGCTGCCCCTGGAGCCCCAGAGCCCCCTCAAAGGAAAGACACCCTCACGTGCTCCTCGAATTCCCACACCCATGGGACGGATGTGACATTCATTTCGCAAATGCAATGGAGGTGGTGGGATCACCACACAACAGCGCGCCACTCAAAACCATGTGCCGAGTCGTGGGGAAGCCATGCCAGAAGCCAAGGGCGTGGCCCTCGTTCCATGGGGCCCCACTTCCACCCTCCCAGGATGGCCCGTGAAAGGCTTCTGCTACTTTCGGACAACTGAGGGGTCACACTCGGAAAGCTCCAGGCATCGCGCCGACAGCTCAGCCAGCCACGCATTACCCTCCGCTTTCGTGTCTGTCCTCCCTTCATCTTCTCATAAAGGAGCTTCTTGTTCTAGAATGGGGACAAAAGAAAACACAAATGCAGCAGTTATGATCAAACTTGGTGAACATCTATTTTAGAAGCAATAACTTGGTGTGTCCCCCTGGATATCTGCACACACATATTTTGGAAACAAAGTGAGATGAAAGGAATCTCGTGTCAGAAAGATAGACCACAAGAGAAAAACTGGTGGTTGTGTAGCTTTTAATAAAGTTCTCTGCAATGCCCTGAAGCAAACCAGTGTCACCAACAATCATATAAACAGGAAAACACGGCATTCTCAAACACAAGAGGCACTGGAAACTCAGCTCCTCACTTTGAACAGCCTTTGTCTAAAACAAACAGTGTTATCTCATTTTACTTTTGTATCCAACTCCCTTTTTATGAGCTGTACACATAAACTGTTCTCTAGAGGAGTGTCTGACTATTAATAACAATCCTCTATGTAAATAAATGAGACATCCTGACTTCTGCAACCTTTCCTCCTGTGGCTTAAGTCAGTGCCCCCAGTCAAGACAATCGGAAAACCATTTGGTCTATAACATTTTTAATGGAGTGAACCTTTTAAAAACTGCCAGAAAACTTCTTGGCAGAAGGAAAGCTGTGTTGGGGGAAGAAAAAAACGGGCTCTGTTACCACAGTTTGTATAAGTGTTTCCACATATTGCTGTATTTCAAACACATAGTGGATTTAAATGAGCTCTAGAATATCAGACACAAGTTCCACAGGTTTCCCTACTGAGGTTATAAAAGACAGAACACTTAATCTGAACACTTCATCTGATGGGAGAAGGTGCACTGGGAAGACTTAATCTGTGTTTGTTTTTGATTGTTTTCATCCAAAGGGAAATAATGTACAAAAGAGATGATTTCATCTTGCTTTAAATAAAATATACTGCCATTGTTTTTTGTTTTTTTGTTTTTTTTTAAGAGATGACAGAGTTCTGTTAAGGAACAAGTTTACACAACACTTGTATCCTCTGAACTGTTTGGATATAGAGATTTTTGTTTAATGGTAGATTTGGAAATGCAAAGGACAAATGCCAAGAATGAGCTTCATCATTTTCATGTTCATTAAAATCTACCCCACCCGCAACTGACAATGTGGTTCTCTTGCCCAACCTCAACTTCCCGGAGAGGCTGCGCCAGGGAGTGAAGGCTCTAGAGTAGCCAGTAGGCCGGTACTGGCCACGGCCTCGGTCTCCTGCTCACTCGGGGAGCTGGTCAATCTAATATTAGAAGGGAGAAAAGGCAGATGTGCAGATCACGGCCTTAAAGAATGAGCACATCACCGTGAGGCTCATTCTTGTCCTCCGGAGTTGCATTTCTGTGGATGCAACTCTTATTACACAGAGAACATCTGAGAGTTTGCGCCAAGACTGGGGAAGAGGGCTGGGGGCTGGGGTCCAGGACACAGGCTCTTCATGTGCACCCCCAGGCTTGGCTGCCTGTGTGGGCAGGAGCACAGGGGGATCAGAGCTGGAACCAGGGGCTGGGGCAACTGGTCAACCGTGGATGGCAGACTTCTACGGCACCACCCACAGGGTCAAGGCAGCAGTGATTCAGTTCATCTCCTTCAGAAGGTTGTGGGGCAGATTATACCAATAAGAGACTTCATTCGAAAAGAAATGCAAAAGGTCTAGCAAGTTTTCCTCTCAGAGACAGTCCCTGGGTTTCCCTAAGAGCCGGGGTTAGGATTAGCCGGATGATACTTTCCCATCCCTGCATGAACGTGGCTGGGGCATCCCTGACTAGCGCTGCTATTATTGTATGGATGTGAAGGCATGGGCTGCCAGGTACAGCGGGGGAAAAGAAGTATACAAAAAGGATGAGAAGAAAAGAGCCCCCTCTCCTGATATCCACTCCTTGTAGATGGGGTAGGGATTGGGGAGCGGTGAGCCTGTTTTCCATGTGAGTAGCAGGTTTGAGTTCACAAAAAGGGCTTTCCATTGTGCCATCAAGATTTTGGACAACTGCCCAGATCTCGGTTTCAAATTCCATTCCTAAATGGAACCAGGGAGACTTCTTGGAGGATGTCTGAATCCAGGGCCAGGGCAGGGAAAGTTTAAGGATCAATGAAGTTGGAACTTCTAATTGTGCCATAAAGTAAGAACGTGCTCAAGAAGTGATGAGCCGGCGTCAAAGGGAATGAGAAGCCAATGTGGAGACACCCACTGGCTGTATCTAGGACAGAGTAAACACCAAAGTAAATACCAACAGGAATCCACAAACCCATACTGATAGTAAATAAACAGATTTTTAAATAGATAAATGAATAAAGGGGGAGACTGTTGCTTAGCATAAAGTGCCAACCAGTAAATGCAGAATGAGTAATGGAGTTTAAAAATCACCATTTTACAAGTTCCATGGTTAATACTGATTCTGGTGAATATCATCGATGAAGACTAAAACTGTTGGTTGAAAGTTTAATGGGGACAGAATATTTATACAGTTGCAAAGTACCTCCCCACAGATTACTAACGTAAAAGGGGAAAAAATAGTAACTTTACACTTAGAAACCAGGCAGGAATCACTTAGAACAAGTCACCACCAGTTCGAGGACAGAGTGCCATCATGTGCCTCCTGATGTGAAGCACTAAGAGGAACATACCAGAAAGGCAGAATTCAAGCCTAATCATATGGAAACATGAGACAAACCCAAAGTGAAAAGCATTAACTCTTTGGCTGTGTTGAGGTCCTGAAACATAAGGCAAGGCAGAGAAAGTCCTTGCTTCTCATTTCTCTCATGGCGCCAGCTTTGGCCATGATCAGTGGGTTCCGTGGAAGGAAGAGACCCTAATCACCAGGGTGGGGCTGATGAAAAGATATGAAAAGCACTTGGAAAGGAGAAACATTTCCTTTTCGAGAGAACTTTTTCCTGAGTAGCAGTCAGCAGTCACTGTGTGAAGGAGGGGGTGACTGACACCCACAGTAGCCAGGCTTTGGGTATGGCCACTCCACACTGGGGGCACACACACTGTCCGAAAGACAGCCAGTCCTAGACGGGATGCAATGGGACCACAGAACAGGACACATGATGAGCCATGAGCCATGAAAAAATAAGAAATCTACCAGTTTTTAAAGAACTCCTGGAGTTAGAAGATCTACTTCAAATCTTAGCTCTGCTGATAAGCAGCTCTGTGGTGTTGGGCAGGCTACTCACACCCCCTAAGTCTGTATTTTCTCATCTGTAAAATGGGAATGATAGGGGCGCCTGGGTGGCTTAGTCGGTTAAGCGTCCGACTTTCGCTTAGGTCATGATCTCGCGGTTTGTGGGTTCGAGCCCCGCGTCGCGCTCTGTGCTGACTGCCAGCTCAGAGCCTGGAGCCTATTTCGGAGTCTGTGTCTCCCTCTCTCTCTGACCCTTCCCTGCTCACGCTGTCTCTCTCTCTCTCTCTTTCCTAGAAATAAATAAAAATATTTTAAAAAAAATAAATAAAATGGGAATGATTGAGATAATTCACATATTTAGCACAGTGTCAGGCACACAGTATGTGCTCAATAAATATTACTATTTACTACCACATAATAAAATACAATTACTATTATTCTTCATCTCCATTCCCATCACCCAACACAGGGCCTGAAAGGCATGTGATGTGCGTTTAACAAATGTCTCTTGATGCATTAACAAAGAGAAAGTAGTGCAGGAAACAAGACAGACACCGATATGTATAATATATGAATCATTGCTAAAGACCCAGCTGAGCTCTAGCCAACGTCAAGGACAGGAAAACATCATTAGCATATAAGGAATCATGGTCTTATGCGCAGTGCTCTTGTTTAAGGTAATTACTTTGTTAACTTAAAATCCAGTTGAGCTTAGGACAAGCTTGAGACCATCATTCCATCCCCCTGGGATAAGGGAAGACTACTCTACTCGATTCCCACTACCATGTGAAGATCAAGCAAATCATGTTTGCTGCCAGGTGGTACTGAGAAAATAAATGAGAGAAACTTAGGCTTAAATAAACATAATTACAGATGATAAAAGGTGTGTAAACACTGTTCCCGGTCATCGATCTGTAACAGTAATCTATCCAGGCTTTCAAGAAGAGGCAAGGAAAGTTGGCAGAAGAGAAGTTTCCATCTCTCCTGCTTCCTCACAAGGGCTCTCTGCCCTCACTCACACTTTTCCCAGTCTCACTCTTGCTTCCTTTTGCTCACTTCCAGCCTACCAGTTCTTTGGGGGACCTTCTCATCTGAGACTTGAGGGCTGCCTCCAACATCCTCGCTGGCAACTGCACAACTGGCTGTGTGAGTCCTCCATCTTGGATATTCCTTATCTGTCCTTATCTTCCCTCTGTGCCAGTAATTGTACCTCCTAGTGACCACAGCATAGCTAGAACATGAAGCTGGAGCACTACGTTGGGTTCGTTGTGTTTTCACACATTTCTTCTCAACTGCAAGGAGGTAAGCTCATTGAAACCCAGCACCGTGTCTTGAAGATAGATCAGGCACCTGGCACAGCATCTGGAACAAAGCAGGCTCAGCATCTTCCTCTTGTTCTTTGCTGAAACTGGTCCTTGCTTCTGTGGATTTGCCCATGTCCTGTGGGTTCCTTCCCAGGGCTCCTCTGTAATCTCCTGCTGTCTTTCCCTCCTACCTCCCTCTCTTCTTTATTCCTTTCTTTCAAAATTTCCATCAGAAGAAAAGTTCCTTCCATCCATTTCACATAAACCCGACATGGCTGTTCTTTCCTCCTCATACTATATTTATGCCGTATACCAGTTCTAATCAGCTCCCCATCTGCCTTCAAAATGTCTTACATTCTCATCATGTTGGTGAGGTTCATTCAAATGTATTATGTTCATGGCCTTCAAAACTGGAATGTTTCTTACATTTTTTAAAAATTTCCTTTAGTCTATTCTTTCTATCATCCTTCCATAGGCCCCAGAAATAACTTCCTTTATAGAAGACTATCATGATTTCAGTCTCCTATTCAAGAACT